CCTCCTGTGGCCGGGACAGCCCCGCAAGAAAGAGTCACCACGTGGACGGTCAGCCCTGAGGGCAGGATACTGCCCAGGTCTGTGCACAGCTGATATGACGTACGACTTTCTGGATGAGCAGAGTGTGCCCTCCGGGGCAATGAGATGGGACAGGGGTGGGTGGCAGGTGGAGGGAGAGGGAGGAGGTCTTGTCCTGGTACAACCCTGAACGTGCCACCTTGGACCCAGGGGGAAGGGAAGGGAACGGGCCGGGCCCGGCTGCATGCCTTCCACACCTCATCTCCCACCACCTCGGGTCTTCAGCTCCCGGAGAAACATGCTCCTCACGTTTACCCGTTTTTAGCATCATGTTCAAGATGGCAGAGCCGGTGAGGGGGCAGGCTGGGGAGTCCACACCAGAGGCCACCGCGCTCCATGTGGGCGAGGAAAGGATTTGCATCTGGGAGTTGCGGACGGGTCTGTGCTGCTGATCAGTCAGCAAAGGCCCCTGCATGTAGGTGCAAGGCCTGAGACGGAGGGCAGGTCGGGCCCTGCACATACCTGCTCAGAGAGAAGCAGGGCAGGCCCCTGCTGCGGGGAGCTCGCGACCCAGAGCGAGAAGCCCCTGCCTACGCATTCACAAAGCAAGGTGGCAGCAAAACCAGGAGACCCTGGGATGCAGGGAGCCGGGGAGAGCACCCTACCTCTGCCCACCCAGGAGCCAGCCCCTCCCATCCTTGGCCCACACCAGCCCCAGACGATCAGTGTGGGAGGCAAGTCGCTCCGACGCTTCCCCACACCTGGTTAGTCCCCCTGCACCTCTAGACGCGCTGAACAGGGAAGCCGCTGGGCGCACCACAGCGAGTCTCCCACGCACGGCATCCGGCATCCGGCCCAGCCAACCCACCCCCTCCATGTGCGACCCCAAGGGCACCATGTCCTTGCCCAGTTGTCATCTGGTTCGGCTCTAAATGAGAGGTGGGGAGGAGGGCAGCGGACCAGACAGCACACCCACAGCCCCTCACAGCCCTGCGTTATCTATGAGAGAATTAATATTCCTGTTACATAACCCACAACATTCCGATCGTTGCTAAACAGAACACGCTTGCTCCGGCCCCAGTCCCTGCATCCCACACTCTCGCCCTGGAGTGGGGTGAGCCAGCAGAGGGCTTTAGGGAGAAGAGAAGATTTCCCCGGCAAATCTCTTCTTAGCCCTGGGACAGAGGGTGGAATTAGATTGTAGGAAAATTCTTCTCACGGGAGACCCTTCAGAGACAAGCCCAGGGCAGCCCGTTTAATTCCTGGCCCAAGAAAGGGCATGCTGGGAGTCTGATTTCAGAGAATTCTGCACTGCGAATTCTAAGTACTTGCTCTGTTCCGCCTCCCTGAACCTGTCACTTACTCAAAAGAAAAACTTCAGTCTGCGTCACAGCTTGGCAGGGAGGTGGCGGGGGTGGGG